CACCGCCCGGGGAGGACACGTCCACCGGGAAGGGGGCAGACCGGGCACGGCCCAGTATGGACCGAAATTGCAGAGCGAAGCAGACATCCGAGCCTAAAACCCGTGCACTTTAGACCGTGACATTTATTTTCTTCAGCAGGCATGTCTGGTACACAAACGCCATCTTCGAGTTTTCAATAAACTGGGTAACAACCACCCTGGGAAGTTCAACAAGGTGGTCAGTCCAATCCTGCTTTGAATTCCCCGTACAGTCAGTTCTACATTTAAGGCTTAAATGTTTCAGTTAGTCATATGAATTTCTGACATGCTACATTAGTATTTACATCCACTCAAAATTATATAAAATACAAGCATTTTATTATTTTTGAGTTCAACAGTATTGCTTAGAATTACAAAATACAGCAATGTCTGAAATACTGAAGGTTTCTTAAAAGCAGCAATTTTTCTCCCAGTCCCAGTCTTAACTGTCCAGAAAATTACTAAAATAAAAGTATTTACCATGTACATAAGCCACAGATCTAGAAATATGACCATCAAGTCTTAAACCACATAACACAAATGCAAATGGCAACTGGCAGATGACCATGACATTGCCAAGGGCACAACAGTAAGTCTCTGTGCTCTATGTATTACAGTCTTTTTTTTCCCTCCCCTAGTCAAAAAAAGATAAATTTGTGTTTCAATAGAAATTTAGAAGGCAGACTGGCTTTGTGATGAACACATTAGTGCTTCTGTCGTTAATAGTGCAGAACCACTTTGGAGACTACTGATAAACACGCTTACACATACATGGCAAAACAAACCTGTAACAACACGGTGCAATTCTTTTGTTGTGATGGATCTGTAGAGAAATATCACGATTTCCCATACATGTGTTTAAATACACAAGTTCCAAAAGCTACAGGTGAAATTTCAACCTCTGAAACATACACTCAGTTTGTCACAGGAGGAACTGTGTGTACTCACTTGGGTTGAATTTTGCTGTAATTCAACTATTTTTGGTCCCCACGTGCAATAAACCTACTTGGAGCATTTTTTCCCCCTCTCCATTTCATTCACTTGTTTGTTAAGGACAGATTGATTATTTTATTTAATTTTTTTTAGTGCATGACTTTTCAAGTAACTAGCCTGCAAAAAAAAAAAAAATCTATAAACAGCTTAAAATATCAGGAAGAAATTCCAAGGAAAAGCATTTTCACAAAGATAACATTCTGCACTTTTTGTTTTAAAGACAATATAAAAAGAAATTGATAGTGTATAGGTCCTCACATATATATTAAACAAAAAGAGTTCTTGTTGTATTCAAAAGTAGTTTCTCAGCGTATGCAAACGCTGTATCTTCCCTTATTCAGAATACATTAATTTAGCCTATAAAAATACAGTATGGACAAGTCTTCTCATTCCCTGACATAAGAATTCACAATTTTGACACAAAAATTGTAAACTTTTATTACATTCAAAGTACATTTCTTAAGTCTTTAGAATTTAAGTTCTGAGGCATCGGCAGTCAGAGCTCTTGGTGTACAGCAGAAGTACGTTATTGCAGAGCCTTTACACAGAAGCAGCTCTCTCAAGAGAAACTTACTCCCCACGTATTTTTGTTGCTACCAGGAGGAAAAGAAAGGCTTCCTGCTATGAAAGGTCTGTGTGAACGCATTACTCAGATGAACAATTCGGCCCTGACTTCCAGTGCTACTTCGCTCCACAATCACACGTGGCATCTGAACAAGCTGAATGGGACTTTTTTCATCCTTTAATGCCTGAGTAAGGTTCAGTATCTGAAACAGTAAAAGCAGGCAAGGTGAGGGTGCACAAATAAAACTGTGGCTAACAGGCTTATAAAGTTAGCTTCTGTAGAGGACTGTGCTGTCAAATTATTTTTAAGACACTCTATTGCAAGTAGAAATATTTTATTTATTTGGTAACATTATGACCTCCTACCACTATCTGACTACCCTTCTATTCTTGAGTATTTCATGCAGTCCTCTCTGAATTTTCAGAAAATGTTAGGAAAAAAGAAAAAAATTGAAGAGCATTTTAAATTTAGCACATCTCTTAAAGGGGCACCTTTAATAAAAAAAAACCTGTAAGAAAGCAATCAACACTTATTTAACACAGGATCTACCAGGAAATTTAGCTACAAATTATTTTCAGATCAGAAGATATGAAGACATATTATTAACCCACACCAAACACAGTGCTAAAATCCAAATTCAGCCCTCAGGAGCCTGTTATCTTCCTTCCAAAACTTCAGTGCTCATGAAGTGCCCTGATAACATTGAATGTAGAGTAAATTATCCTGCCGAAAACTGAGGCAAGAATTCAAGTAGTTCTGTTGACACACTTGCATTATCCTTAATATCAAGCCTTTTTTCCCCCTGCACAATGCCCCTCTCTTCCTTGTACGACTCACTGCACGTTCATGGCTGAAGAACCCTGGCAGGTAACAGTTTACTGCAATTTGGCTCCTCCAGCAACTCCACTTGACATTTACATTTTCTAAGTTAAGGCAATCCCTTGTAGGCCTGTGTTACCTGGTTGCTTAGTCTCTATGTTCTGGAGAGAACTTGGGTTTGAAACCCTTATCAATGTTTTTTTCCCCTGCTTCACAAAAGTATGCTTCTAACTCCTTTTGGTACCTCAGATTTAAAGGTCTCACCCCTTACATGCAAGATGTATTTCTCTTCAGCCTCCTTATCTTTATCAACTAGATTCTTCATTTTCTGTTTTTTTTTTACACTTTTCCACTTTTACAGACGTATTTACAGACGTTTTGGCTATCCTGCAAGTTCATCTTAACTGAATGAATCCATTATCGTGTGATCTAGAAATCCAACTCTTCCATAACACCCTTGTAACATACTTTGGTTTTACACCAAAAGCAAGTCTAAAATCAGTGCTAAAAAGGCGTCATTTGCTGATGTATTTCCAATCACATCCAAGAATAACTCACTATCTACTTTTCTTCCCTAAAACCATGCCTGAAAACCTGACATTTCCCACAGTGAAACACATTCGTGTTTAGCTACAAAGAGATCTAAAAAAATAAAATAAAAAATTAAATCTCTTCTGAAATCCACCTCAGTGAAACAGTGTGAAGAAAGGGTCCAGATGCAGCCTTTATAGTGGGAAATTAAATTTAGACAACCTTAGCTAGATCTCCCTCAATTATACAGATCAGGTTTTTTTCCTTAAGCTTTTTGTTAAGTAACAGAATCCTTGTAGCAAATCGTCTCATCACAAAAGAACTACTTAACACAGTTTAAGATGGATAAATACTTCAGAAGTGACCTTCCAGTGACTGCATAAACTTCTCAGAAATGTTATTTCAGAAATAACTCCTATAATTCAACTTAGTAAGTAAGGTTTGCTGGCTTTTAGCCACCACACATAACTAATGTTAACCGGGATTACGTTTGACTAAGCAGAGCTGCAGTCTTGTGCAAGATACTTCTTGATATAGGAAACTCTACAGAGAAAAGTTTGGATTAAGCTACTGAAGGAATTGTGAGTGTCTGGCTCTGAACTATCTATGGTGAATTTATGAACACAGAGAAATCATTTTCAATAAATTCAGGGCAAATGAGACTGGTAATTTACCCAGTCCAATGCCCTTACATTTTCACAAATCACTTTTATGCCTACAATGAACTAGATTTGTTCTTAGCTAAAGCTTGTTTTCCAATATCTCACACCAGTCTTAAATTTTAAAACTGCAAGAAGATGGAGAAACCCTTCTCTCTTGCTTCTTTTTAAAAAAACCCTCAACACTTCATTATCATCAAATTTCTAATCTGAAAACGGCTGGATTGGTTCCAAGAATGGTTCTGACATTCCCTAGGATGAAGAAATTTTATTACCCAATATTGCTTTCTTGTAAGAGGTATTTCAATAATCAAGTAAACCCTCCAAAATAGTCACATTTGCTTTATTAACATAATGAAATTACCCACCAAATTTTCCATCCAAGTTTATGACTCTTCTCCAGTGTTTCATTTTTAAAGTACCTTCTAGAATATATAGGTATTAAATCCTTCCCTATCCCTCACAAAAACAATAAAACCCAATTTTGCTATTTAAGAACATTTTCTTCTATAAAATTTTTTTAAAAATAAAATCAGTACACACTTTCTCATCTATATGCAAATAAAAAACTCTACAAAGAAATTTAATGTGCTCAGAAGAAAGTACCTTCAAATGTTTTTCAATTCAATAGTTAGGTTTTGTAGCTCTTAAAAACAGCTGAGAAGTGATGACAAATTAAATACCTAAATAAAAAAAAAATGTAAAAAAGCAGTCTTACCTGCCCCCTCATAACGGACATTTGGTTTTCAAATGTAGCCTTGTCAAATCCTTTATCAGTCTTTATTAAAGAAAACAAGCAGTTACTATAGGAAATGATCCATTTATTTTTAGCTATATATTTTACAAGCAAATTCATCAATTTCATAATATGCATAGTCATATTTACCAAAATTATAATAATCTTTGGAAGCTTCAAATAGTCATAGTATGACCCAGAAAAAGGTCTATTTATTGCAGCAAGTTTATGTATCTGAAAATGAAGGATGTTCCACATCATAAAAGTAAAGTACATCAGGGGATACCACTTCAGGGCATTGGTGGGCAGACTTAATACCATCACATAACATTATACTGCTCTGTCTCTCACCTTTACTCTGGCAAAAGAATACCTCCTGCTTCAGATTTATGAAATACCTCAACTTCCACTGGGTTTAACAGACAACCCTGAGTCACTTTGAATACAACTCAAAGACGCAAATATTCCAAGTGTGTTTCCAGATCTAGTTTTGATGTTACAGCTGCATTTGCATTAAAAGTTTAGAATTTCCATTTCTTTCCATCCTGATCATTTGGATTATTTCACTTGAACATCTGACAATTGTTTATGGAATGTTTCAGAGAAGGACACTTCTTTATATGTCAATATTACAGCACAGTTTCAGTATCTTTAAAATAAGTTTGACTTACTTTAAACATAGTCAAGATTTCAGCATCAACTTCACACAATATATGTATGCAAAATTAAGTACATAAAAGGTATGCAGGTATTTCAAATTACATTAAATACATTATTTCCTCAGGTTGCTGGTTTACTTTAAGTGCATACATACCATACAGGTATGTTAAACTGAGTATTTACACAGATTCGTGCTACAAAAGTTAACTAGCTTTGATTATGTGAAACTTAGATCTATAAAAGGTAATTATGTTTTTAGATGAGCTGATTACTATCAGATACATTAGTGACACAGTTTCCTCTTTAATAAAATAAACCCTTTCTACCATGCCAATGTTAAAGCTAAAATAGCACAGTATCATGAGATACAGAAGAAGTTAAAATTTATAAAAAGAAAAACCATCTAACTATTCCATTACAGGTGTTAGCTATTTCAGTAATGCTCAATTCAAAGAAGCACTCAATTCACCTTAAATAGTTCATAAAGATCTTCACAAAGATCCTGTACGAAGTTCATATCAGAAATGCGAGGAAGAACTAGGTCTCTGGTCTCCTGAGAGAAAGGAACTTTTGCTTGAGAAAGCCAAGCCCAGTGAAAGGGATCTAAAGCAGAAAAACAGTACATGTAATGATTAACAACGGGGAAAAATGAAATTCTCAAGTGCTTGCCACTGATACAATACTCTGTAGTTGGAAGTTCTCAGCAGCAGATCATTTTTCACAACATTGTTATCCCATGTACATCTTTCTGCTACCATTACAAAAGCAGCTTTACAGCTACTTAGCCTTTTTTTCCCAAACAGTTAAAATATATTTTATATATAAATATTTAGTTGAAGCAATAATTTTAAAAGTATATAAATTAAATACTATAAGCAACAGCAGAGGCCTTATACTTTAGTAATGCAGTTTCCTTTGAAGTAAAATAATGGCTGTCATCAAATAGAAATCTTTCAGATATTTGACTCATACTGAAGAATTAACAAAAAACTAGTTACTATTTTTTAATAAAATTTTTGGTTTATTAAAATGCCTTCTTCTAAGGAGACTGAGAAAAACATTCTTAACTTTTCACAGAGTTGCTATTAAACAGCTTTTTCAAGAGATGATGAGTAATTAATATTACCAGATGTTAATCAAGACACCAAACAGCATCAGCTGCAGGAACTGAGGAACATCACTAGTAGTAGGCCACCCACTGAACTTCTTAACAGGGGTCACGGCCCTTCGAGTCTGACAGTCCAGTCAGTTTTCTACCCACCTCACACACAGTCTGTCCAGTCCATATCTCACATTTCACTACAAGAATACTATAAGACGCCATGCAGAAAGAAGGCCTTGAAAAAGTCAAGGAAAATCAGTATTCACTGCCCTCCCCTCATCCACTGAGCCAGTCATCACTAACTCTAGTCAGTCAAGCACAGTTTGTCCTTGGTAAATCCATGCTGGCTTCCCCATTACCTTCTTGTTCTTCATGTGCTTGAACATTCCAGGAGGACTCATTCCACAGTCTTCATGGGGACTGAGGTTAGGATGGCTACCCCATCATTCCTTGTACCCTGCAGCTTGCCCTCCTTGAAGATGGATACTTACCTTTTTCTAGTCATCAGCAACCTCCCACATTACTACAGTCTTTCAAGAGTGATGAGAAATCAGCCTCCCAACAACATCAGCCAGCTGCCATCATGTTTCCAACGCATCCAATCTACTCCTATGAACTTGCTTAAGTGCTTCCTTTCTTCTGCTTTGGGTAATGATTCATTCCCAGAGGTTCTGCTTATGTAGCTCTGAGACCCAAGAGCCTGAGAGCAAATCTTACAAGTGAAAACTGAGGCAAAAATCAGCATTGAATAACTTGTTCTTTCTTATGGCTTTTGCCTTTAGGTCTTTGCTGCACTTTTCAGTCCCACTCTCACTTCTAATTTACTTAACCCCTTCCAGTTGCCCTTTATGTCCTCTGCTAGCTTTACTCCACCTGAGCTTTGACTTTCCAGACTCTATTCCTGCACTTATGGACAAAGTCTCTATTTTTCCAGGGGTGTGCCTACAACCATTATTACTTCCCCCCCGCCATGTACTTAATTTTCATGTCCCAGTTCAGTCAGGAGTCCCCCATTCAGCCATGCTGGACCAACTTCCTGCCTTTTGGATAGGCTCTTCTCCAGCTTTAAGGAGGTTATCCTTGATGATCAACTAGCTTTAGTCATCAAGAAAACACACTCTACCCACCAAGAGCGAATGATTTTGAACACG